AAAAAAAAAAAACAGTTTCAAGATAGACTTTTCGTTTCGCGTTAAGTAGTCTCGTAGTTTACAGTCACTTGTGTGGCGCTTAAATCTACCTAATTTAGCAACCGAGGATAACAGTCCTCGCTGAGTTCTCTCAGCGTTGACAGGCATAAAAGGCAAATTACGTAAATATTCGTATTGCACTTTCCCGCTGGCAGTTTTGTAGGTAAATACAGAATTTAAATCGCTTCTTGTACGATTTTACGAATCTCTGGCGGTAGATATGCAGCGTCTTTAATTCTATCAGGGTTAACCTAGTTACAGAATCTTCGGTACGCCCTCGTGTTTATACCGCGAAAAGAAAGAATATTCGAAAGTTTGTAAGAAATATAGTTTTATTTGTATTATACAAGGTAGCCTCATTTTTTGCAGAATTTCTTTTTCTGCAAAATGCTTTTCAATGCATATCAATACTTGAATTTAATTAATGAAATTAATTAAGTTGTTAATCTTTAAGCATACTTCAGAATAAAAAAATGTGGAAATCAATATTTTTTATTGATGGAAATCGTCATTCTATTTTTGTAATTTTTTATCGTATATGAAATAATTTAAACATTAAATAAGATCAAGTTTTAATTCAAAAAATATTCTAAAATTTATTAATAATAAATTTTGATAAAAATTCTCTAAGAATACACAAATATAAACAAACTATCAATCAAACATGCAATTCATCCCAAAAATTATCATTAAATGATTATTTTTCTGTTGTTCCGTTTGGAAATATGCGAGTTTGAAAAGAATTTTTTTTTTTTCACCGTCTTTTTAATTAATGGGTTCATGGCCGAGTAGTTAGTTTACACACGCGTCAAGAACGGCCATTGCCACGTATTAAGTACGCCATTATTAAATGTGTAGTGCGGCTAACTTAAAAGAATTATTTTATGTGGTTATAATTACTTTTTCTCTTTATTTTCTCTTTATATTCAATTTCTCGTTCATCTAAATATCAGAAAGTATTTTATAAAAACAAATTCTAACGATAAAAATATGAATTTATATCTTTATATACTATATATTGGAAACTAAATCATTAATATAAATAATCCTTATAAGATTAAATAATAAATATATTTTTTATTTTTCAGCATATTCTTATATTTTTTATGTATTCTGAAAACAAATTATACATTTTTTTCAAAATTTTTGTCATAAAATCTAATGTCTAATTGTAAAATCGAACATAAGATACAAAATAGATAAAGAATTTATTAAAATCAATTGAAGCAACAACATTTTTCGATACGCGCGAATTTAAATTGTATTAATAACGCTTACATAATTCTCGTTTTATTCATAATTGTTCGAATTTTAGCGAAATTTGGTTTCGAATTTATGAAGGTCAATCGGTATTTTGACTTATCTAGAACAAGAGAATCTTTATTCAAACGATTAAATTTTACGTCCTATAATAAAGAAAGATTGAACGGTCCCGTACGTGGATAAATTTCTTAATCGTTCTGCTCGGTGTATATGGTAAATATTAGGTACATGTGATTGGTTGATTGTTCATGTGCCGTTAACCGTAATCCTCGATTCCCTAGATGACGTTCGCGATTATTGGTTAAACGGCACTGTCGGATTTATTGCTAGAATTACTACTGACTCGAATGGCGTGATATCATTTTCGGTTATTTATCGTCGTCCCATTGAAACGGGACGACGCATCGAATTCGCTTGGTTACGATGGTTTATCGATGCAGTTGTCGTTTATTTAAGAAGGCTCGTTAATTAAATGTTAATAATTTTTTGCATATTTTTTAATTCCTTCAAAACATTCGTTGCTTCTCAATGTTTTGATCTAGTTTTTCATATATATTCTCATTTGAAAATATAATTGTTCAAAAAATTGAAATTGAAATTAGATAATCGTTAATTCAAATTTCATGTTATGTCAAAGTTTTATCAAAAATTTTCTCGAGTTTTACAAGTTTCTCGATTTTTAAAGTTTATACAAAAAAAGAAAAAACAAATAATTTTCAATAATTATATCATAAAATTTCCAAATGATAAAAAAAGATCATTACCTAATATTCTGTTTTAAAATCAATTTTCAAATATTTCCGCATCAAGATTAATTCAACATTTATAATTAATTTCAACTCAGAATTGTAGAGGATTAATCGGGAGATTGTCGTGCAATTACGCAGCCGTAAATCCCGACAACAATACGTTACAACGGCATAGCACGGTTTTCGAGACCTGTCCTTTATCAGTTTCGTGAGAGAAACGCGAGGCGCACAAACGGAGGTAGAAACATTTCTGATAACGGTTTTATGTACTGTTTGAAATATACCCTGGTGAAAGGAAAACAAG